CTGCAGCCTTTCTACTGCTACTCCTTGGCTCCTCCTAACTGCTGTCTTTCTGCCACACCCCTGATCTTCTGGTAGGAAAGATCTACACCTAGCCTTCTCGGACAAGGGCGAAAAATCTCGGAGGGCCCGGGTGCAAGTTGCGCACGTTAAAGATCCCTTGGTGGTCTAAAATCGATACGAGTAGTCTTCGGCCGCCACCCGGGCAAAATTCAAAATTCCCTACAAACTGAAAATATTAGGTGTGTCCCGGCGCTCATATGACCTTATGCAGTTGCAAGCGCCGTAAAAACACCTACCAAAACAAACAAAACTCTGTAAAAGATACTAAACATTGTTCAAATGTCACAGGGATGGAAATTAATGTCAAAGAGAAAATAGAGAAAAAGGTCACCTAATCTTTTCACAACTTCCTTTACAAAATTTTTAAACATTTGTGTACTTGCGTTTTTGGGTGCTTTTTTCTTGTAACCGTTTTCAAAACATGTTTCTTCTTCGTGGATTTTATATCAAATAAATTCCTTTTGAAGGAATTATGTCTGTTCCAAATTACAGCATTTTAGAATAATTTTTGCGCGAGATATTCAGAAAAAAAGTTGTAAAGTTGTTGTTTTTTTTTATCACCCTGTATAATACTAATTAATTATACGCTGAGTCTTCGATTTTATATTTATAAGCGACTTTGTATTCACTAGCACTAGGCTGTAAATAAGCCTTTTAAGTGAGAAACTAGAAGCAGCCTTTATTGTGTCATCCGGATTTTTTTAGTAAGCTGTTATGTCGGTCGTTACATTCTCAGTGTTTGGCATCATTTTAATTAATTTATTCTGTGCATGTCTAGGTGTAACAACCAACAAATCATTTCGTTTTACAACCTGGGTCAGAAATTTTAAACGCAGCTTTGTACACTGTACTCTAACAAGACTCTAGCCAAGCCTAGTTTAGGGATCTTATGTGTTTAATTGTGTGTATTACTAGTTGTAACAGCCAGCTAATACAATTTGCGGGCCGACGTTGTGGAATCATGCTCTCGTCAATTTTGGGGCACATGGGGTTATTGATATCATATTAAAGCCTCTTTCTCTGCCTTGCTTTTGGTGAAAAAAATATCAATCTATGTTGTACAGAAATCGAGATAATTGCAGTTGAAAGAGGTCGCCTGGTTTCAGAGGTAAAATTTACGAGAAAATGGCCGCCAAGTGTGGTTATTTCCATAGCTTGAGAGATAGCCTGGAAACTGAACATTTCTCAGTTTTTGTGCCTTTAATCACTGGGGGTTTTTTGGGTGTAAAACCACTACAGAAATAGATTTTTTAATGGACATTAACGGTGTGGGGCCAAAAAAAGAAAATTAGAAAAAAAATGGATCAACGGCCAGAAAAAAGCCAGTTTCTTTGACATAATAATTTTGACAATCGCCTGATTTCACCACGATGCCTCACATTTTGGTTTTACAAACGGAGTCTGCAAAGTTACACTGTTAGTCTCCATTCCCCTCTAGTTGCTGCCCCCCCCCCCTTCCCCCTCCAGTCGTTCTTGCATTTCCCCCCCCCTTACTCCTGTTGATCATGGCGACTCCAGAAAGCACGACCCACTGTCGCTGTGTGTGCAAAGGGCTGGGGATAATCCAGCGATAGCGGCCTACGTACGTACGTGATTAATGAGGTTCTGCTTTGACATCGTTCCTTTTTTCATGTGGTGTTCAAACAAACGAGACACAACTGAGATAACACAGACACAGACAGACAGACACACACACACACACACAGTGGACAGACACACACACACATACACACAGAGGACACACCCCCCCC